AGGGGTGGCCACACAAGTGACATATGAGGGGAATGTGATGTTGAAGCCGGCGAGGGGCGGCTTGACTTAACTACTTGTGTCAGGTTGCTGTGACTCAATGTGAGGCCCTCAAAGGAAGAACACGGCTGCAACTCTTTTGCACGTTCGTCCCAGTGGTCGGTCAACCACCACGAGGACGGTCTTTCTACCCTGGGACGATTCCACCACCAGTTGAGGAGACTTCTGAAAGGGTTCATTCTCTCCTAGGTTGTTCTTAAACCTCCTACACCCTGCAGGTCCTTAGGCACCAGAAGCAGCAACAAATGCTTCAGACAACCACATGTATCATCATTTATCCATTCATTGGTGACTGATTGTAATCCACTTCATTTGGCCCTGGGACCTTAGGTCGCCACTTAAACACCAGGCCCCAACACTGTCCACTGTGGGTGTCAACCGGGCCAGCTGGTTGCCGAGCAGCCGAGCTGGGTGCTTGATGGGTCCACATCACCAAGGCCTGAAGTGGATTCCATGGTGCTTGAGCTCAGAGGTGTTGCTTTTCTCACCGTTTAGATTTGTGCAAAAAAGATGCAAGAAACGAAGAAGCTACAGTGGTTTCAGAGTAGATGGCACAGACCTCAAGATGTCCTTTACATGGGGGTTCGTATAAACCACCTCTTGGGGTCTGTGCCATCTACTCACAATCCACTATAATAGTATGCCGCTAGTTGAGGGAGATCACTGCACCGGGTGTACAGGTACAAGGTGACTCCATGGCTTTGTCGATGGGCTGCGGGCTGCGTGAAGGCCCACACCATTCGGTGAAGCCAATGTAGGCGGCGGCGAGCGGTGAATGAATCAACCCCTCACAGGACTCATATGGAGAGATTTTACCAAACGTGGTGCGATATTCACTAACCGTCGTCTACATGACCGCCCTCGGATCTACTGTTTCTACATTACCGCCCTCGGATCTCCTGGTAAGCTCGGAAAAACTCGCCGAATTTGGGATTTTTCTGAAGATGCCCCCAAATGCCGGAGCGGGACTTGTCTCTGACGTTCACGCCATGATGCATCAGAGGAACAGGTTGCTCACTGCATATTGGATTATGATAGATTAATAGATTATGATACGTTTGATTTGGGGAGAGTATATGAAATAGATCCCGAAAAGTCTTGGAGTTGAATTTATCCTTGAACATTGACTCGGACCAATTCAAACATGTTAATAATTCATGTTGTTCCAAGCTGTTTCGGTTCGGTCTCTCATCTCGTTGGATTCGAACGGTCGCCTCATCCGGTCATCTCGCGGTCAACGGGTCCGGAGGGAGCGAAGATCGGCGGGTCGGAGGTGTTCGGAACTAACCCCCCACAGACACGGATGGAATGAAGAACCACTTTCAAGCTTGGGTGGTTGATTCATCAAGAGTCTACATAGCTTAGGGCTTAGGGAGTTCCCTAAGCTTTAGCTTACCACTTGGTTTCTTCATCACTTCGCAGCGCGGCTAAGGTGGTGAAGGCTCATGGGACTGGGTGGGCACGGGGATGGGATCCACGTTTAGACCGATCCGCATCCCGCATCCCTCTCCTGGGAGAAGCCCTTGACACTTCAGATGTCCTACAGGTTTTGTTTGACTGGATGGTTACCATCACAGCCATCACACTCAACCAAGGGGATGTCAAGGTATGTCTTGAAACGGTGAGTTTTGTGTTTGGAAAGAGCAGGCAAAAGGATGCATTCTTCAACAATGCTCAATACCTACAGTAGAACCACCCAAAACATGTTCCAAAAGAACGTCCTTTTGATGTGGTGGACTTCTACAGTTCACCTGTGTGAGCGTGGGCTGATGTGGACTTCTCCTTTCCACCTTTTTCTGGGTGTATAAGTTTGCCAGGTCATTTCACCAAGAGTGCCATGACTCACATCACCTTTCCATCATTTTGCCATTCTCTTTCTCAGCTTGACCACGTTGTTTTCCTCCAATTCGCAGCATTGCTGCGGGTCTTCCCAACGTGCGGTTCCGCTTCTTCTGCGCGCACTGCGCAGATTGTGCCGCGGTATCCGCCCATTGAGGTAGACTTTCGTGCCCTGGCCAGTTTCTTTGGGAAGTCAGGCTTGTGTTTTTGGAAGCTTTAAGTCATTTCGTCGGGATCAAAATCGATTCGATTGTGAGACTTTGTGCACTCGTGCGGACATGTGGATTCACGAGCAGATACGATGTGGCGGATGTTTGATGATTGTTTTGTGACATGACGAGAGCTATGACCACAACACCGTGAAACCGTGAAACTACATGCGGCGATCAACCTCCAACGTTCATGAGCTGATGTTCCATGTCTCAGTCAGGTCGAGCACTTTGACTTCAAAGATTTGATACAGTACTGTAGGTGGCACACGCTCGCCCTTGCTATATGGTTCATTATGTTTTATGTTGGGTCTGTCCGACTACCTGTAGCAGTCAGTAAACAAGAACGTCACTCTTTTTGAACAAGGCCTTTACCAACCATCATCATCCACTGTGACTGGTAGTAGGATAGACCTATCGATGAGGCATCCATGCAAAACATGCTTCAAAAGATGCCCCGTGCATCCCACAGAGCAGGGGCGGCCGCCCTGATAAGCACTTCCGCTTTTGGCCCTGAGGAGAATGGGATGGCCTCATGAGGATTTGCTTCGGACGGAAACGGATGCTTGCATCAACTTGGTCGCGGGTGATGGGAAGCCAGGGAAGATGCCTGAGGGCCTGGGTCAAGACTACATTGATACATCAAAAGGCTACTCAATGTAAAACGGTCTTTATTGGAGCTAGAAGAAGCCTTCTAGCCTTCCGTTTGACGCTACGATGTGTCTAACGTACTGTAATTGTCGGCTGACGGATACACGTTCAGAAACTCACACACCTTTGGAGTGTGAGCGGCGTGTGGTGTGGTGTTGCTTCGAGCGTTTGGAATCCTCGATGGACAGAATAGTATTGTATAGTATAGACATGAGTTTAAGCTAATTAGGTATGAGTATGACCAGTGGCAACTGGGATTCACTGGGCTTGCTTTCCATGTCCTGAAGGCTTTTGACATGGTCACTTGTGTTGGTGCTCGCGTTCGCATGCCCGACCTGAGGAAGACCTTGAGGTCCTCCTTCTGCATGTCCTATACCTTGAAGACCTTGGAGGATCGTTGTGGGGAATTTTCGGTGAACATGACCTCGCTGCCGTTGGACCAAACTATGCCAAGTTGGACCTTCACAGATCCATGGTTGAGTGACTGTGACCGCACGCTCTCCGAGAGCTCTTCGAAGCTATCCAGTCCTTCCCCATTGAACAGGGAGCCGCTCGGAGCTACAGGGAGTTCCCCAACCCCGACATCTAATCATGATTCAGGTCCTATCAAGGAATTCAGACATATTCATGCCAGAAGCCACCCCCCTTTGCACCCAGAATATTTCCCAGTCAAGGGCATGGGCAACTCCAAGGGTCCAAGACCATCCAAGACCCCAAACGTGGAGACCACAGCTTCAAGGACTGTTCCCGTGTGCGGCTGTGTGCGGCCTTGTGCGCCTGAACTCATGCACGTCTTCACACTGGATCCGTTGTTCACAGTTGGTTTTGGTGTCCAGATGGGTGCCCCTCGTGTCCAGGACAACTACACGACCTGGTGCGCTCTCACTGGAAACCGCCCTGACAAGCGGACCATGAAGGCAAGGCCCCTTGGTTTGGGCCATGGGCCATGGGCCATGGGCTAAGGAGTCGCGGGTTGACCCAAGTGGGTGGGCCAAATTCTGTTTGGGGTGGACAAACTGAGCAGTTTGGCAGTCTGGAGTCTATAATTCCCCAAACAGTGTGGGCACACTGAGGGCTTCTTACGGTGTAGAGCTAAACCACACGACCCCCTGAGCCGAAGCCCTACGAAACCGCTTGGGCCGAAGCAGGTGGGTCTTCCAGAGCTTCAGTCTCACCGAGTCAGGGTTGAGGCAAGTTGAGGCATTGGTGTTTGCAAGTTCTGAACGACCAAGTCTTGCCCTAGGGATCCAGTTGTGCCTTCTCAGAAGGTGCGATTGGACCCTCCAAACCTGAATAACAGTGTCTCCAATCACCTTTTGAGAAGGTACGACCGGATCCCTAGGGTTGGGGATCTTGTGGAGTTTGCAGGAGAAGGTGATCGAGGTCTTGAGCACACTGAAACTTGCAGAGAAGCGAGCGATCAAGAAGCTTGGCAGACAGAGATATGGATAAGTGGTTTCAGTATATGAACGAGGGGTGGTGGAGGCATACTCCATGACACCACACCACCTACTTGTATTATTGAATTATTGATAAACAAATGTATATATATATATATAGACAACAACGGACAGTCTGAGGCCTATCATATTAGGTCTATGTTGCATCCCATTGCCCTGTACTGCAGCATGTGCAAGGTGACTGGCTCCAGAAGCCAGGTAAGTCCTGAAGGTATGAACGCCATCTGACCTGGTCAATCCAAAACTATTTGCCACTGACTTGGGGTCAAAGAGGATGTATAGGCCAGGAGCTGGGGTAACCGTTAACCCTCATCACCAACTGGAGCAAATTACTTCTATGGTTTAGATACAGGGTCCGTGGACGCCAATTAGCAAATTCTTAGATGCAAAGATTCGGCCAGGAGGAGGCACGACGTTAGCTTGATTCCAATGACCGACCACCTATGATGACCTCGCGCGGATTCCCACGGGAATACCCGTGTCGTGGCGAAGGATCGATTTAGACACCTACTTCAAGCTGTTGTTGGAGTTCAACAAGCGCCTTGGCTCTGACTCGATTTTTGGCCAGGTTTTTTGTTGGTGGACTCAAATCACGAAAGGTAGCTTGAGCTACCTGAGTTCCCCTTATTTTACCTACTAGAATCCTTGGGGGGCTGCATCACAAATAGACTACGTAGTACATTCTGGATTCTTGCAATCAAGACCTATATCTATAAGTTGCATTAGGAACTGGAACAACTTAGTTCGACACCTTAACTTACAGCTCAAATTACATTTTGGGACGTTGAACCGTTGAACCATGTTGAACCGATAAAATGGAAGCACTTTGAAAACATGCTTTTCGGAACGCATGCGCGGGTGCCAAGTGTTTGAATCAGCTACATGTGGGTGGTCTCTTGCTTTGGCAGGGCGGTTCCTTCTTTTGATTTCAGGCGCGGCATCCACTTTACCAACATGAATGTGGGTGCCAAGATTGGCGCCTTGGGCAGTGGAGTGCGGTGTCCTTGAGTGCCACTGAGGGATTTCAGGTTGACTCAGTGGGGGTGCAGAGGTGATGCACACCGCAGGCACGCCAACAGGAAATCACATGCTGCAGGTCCGGTGTTCCTATTTCTCCATGCCATTGATGGTTGTACTATATACTGGTGGTGAGGAGGAAAACATGCAGAGGGCTGCCCCAAAGCGTGCAGAGGGCACGGTCCTTGGCCGGTGGAAGTGAAGTGGACGGCGCGTCTGGACCCACCCCTGTAATAGTGGAAGTCTTTGCATGGTTATATATTCTCAGAACAGAACTCGCTTTTTGTAGCATCACCATGTATATAATATAAAAATCTGGTCCAGAAAAGGTTGGTATACAAGGGTCAGCCGGAGATGGTGAGAGTGTTCTGGAGTCCCTCAGGTCCTGGCAGGTGCCCTCTAGGGCTGACTTGAGTGGCAGTCATCAGTGCCCAAGTTGCAAGGCTTCATCAGACTGGTTCTTGCTTTTGGGTTGCACTGCGGTCAGGTGGTCGCGGTGCCATAGACGCTGCAAGCTGCCAATCAAATTGTTTGATCCGGGTGACGAACGCCACACATGGTTATGAAAGTGAATGAAGGTGGTTGTGTGCAAGAGCCATGCACTCAATCAAGAGGCTTCTTGTTTTGTAGCTGTCCTTTCTCAGACTCCTCGATGGGTTGCAGACGCATCCAGCCACATCCGTCGTCCTCGCCGGCGGTACCACCACCTCCACCACCTCATCCTTCACTGAATGGTCGTCGACCAGGTGACTCGCAGGCGGCCCTGCCAGACGAGCTCTTCATGGAGGATGGTGATGGAGAGGATGAAGCCATGGAAGATTAGGGCTTCAGGGTTGAGGTCCCCGCAGCAATGCTCAGAGACCCCACTGGTGTCAATGGTTTGTTGTGTTTATTGATATTGTTTTCCTTTTTTGGGTTAGACTTGAAACTTGAAACATAATTGTCTAAGCTTCACCCAAACTGTGAATGTTCATGGGTTTTGTTGTCACTCGCTTGCCATGTTGAAGCAAGCCCATTCTGTTTGACGCATGTGCTTTCTATTGCTTTCTTGTGCCCTTCGCTCAGAACGACGCCCGGATCCGACGAAGAAGAGGGCGTCCCACGCCCGGATCCGCCGTTCGTGGTCCCGGTTTCTGTGGGATTTGGGTACCGCTTTCCGGGTGGTTGGACAGAACAGCGATATCAGCGATGTAGAAGTGGGGGGGGAAGAGTCAATCCAGAAGCGTGACCTTGTGCTTTTGAGGTGGTGTGGCCCAATCAATCCCAAGTTGAAAGTAAGCTCTCTTACCAACAGTCCTCTTAGCAACAAGTGAGTGGATGATTTTGCGACAACCTCGATCGCAGAAGTTCCAGTGCGCCAAGCCACGCAGAGTGCGTGGATCCCGTTTCACCTTTTGCAGATCGAAGCGCCTGCAGGGTCTAAGAGTTGGGTGGGGGGGGGTGTATCATGTGTACTGTGCACCATAACATACCACAACCGTATTGTGCATTGAGCCATCATGTAGTCCGGAGTGAACATATTTGGGGCCAAAGGAACCATGTTCTTCCAGTGTGTCCTGTTGAACTGCTCAGTTTGCTGTTTTGCTTTCGTACTGAACATTACTGAGTCATTAAGTAACGTTACCTCGGAGTTGTGTGCCAATTGAATCCATGGATTCCAGGTTCAAATGAGCCCTAGCCATCCCCAGCCACTAGTCATTTATGGAAATTGTCATCCGCTCCTTCCAGTGGATGGTGATGCTTTGTCCAATTTTGCCTCCACCAACCTTTGACCCTGGCTATCGTGCCTCCAATCATTTGCCACTGGCGAGCGGCTCCTTGACTTCGGCAGACTTTGGCTTTGACCTCACTGGAGCCCAAGAGGTGAGCCCTGTGACTGACTGGAGGTTCTTTCAGAAACAGGACGTGACGATCAAGACAAGATAGACAAGACAAGACCTTTGACGTACTGGTATTGTTTATATTCCGTGCCTTGAGGAGATCCTTCCGATGATGTGGGTTCCATGGAATATGTCAATATGCATTCCCGATGGAACCAAATATGTTTTGCGCTCTCTCTCGCTATATATAATATTTGATACATCTACTTTTGATGGACAGCGTTTTGTGAATGCAAGCAAATTTCCCTTTTGTCAGTTTAGGTTTATGAGATGTTGGTGTTGTTGTTGTTGTTGTTGTTGACTTAGCTGAAGTCAGCAAGAGGCGGGATAAGCCCGTGGGGCCTGAGTGCAAAAGAGGGCAGCAGCTGGGGGGAGCATACTACTCATGCAGGAGGGACCGAGTCTTTGACTGTATTGATTCACTGCAGATATTTGCGGATCCTTTTGTTTTGCACTTTGTGTGCATACAGACGTTATTTGCATGGCTGGTCTCTTTTCAATGCCCTGACAAAGCTCAATTGCATCTACAAACGCATCTAGGTTTCGATCCTCATGACTTTTGGGTGCCTGGCTGCCTGTTGGAGCAAAACTGGGTCTTCAACTACCAGCCAACCAACCAACCAGCTCCATTGTGTTCGGATGCCACGCTTTGGCTGAAACGAGTTGTTGTCCCGGCACCTGCGCACACCGATGCGCTGAAGAAGAGGTGAGGCAGGGCCTGAAGCTGCAACAAGCCTTATTGGTGCAGCATAGCACAGTCAATTTGGGGTCTGTCAAGTGATCCAGGAAATTGGGCCCTATGTGGGCCACAAACATGTTTTACAGACCTTTTGGCTTTACAATATATATGTGCACAGAGTATGCTATGAACAGAGTTTCAGTTCCAAGAGATTCTCTGTATTCGCAGGGTACGAACACCCGGGCCTTGCTTGTCGAGGTGATGCTGTGCCTAGCTCGGGCGCTACTGTGGAGTTTGCTATGGAGCCTTCTGCCAGCAGAGGATGGCCTGGAATTCCCTGAAGAGGAGGGGGTGCTGGTCTTAACTGAGCACCTTGGAGAGCAGATGAAAGTGGGTCAAGGACCAAGACCCAAAAACATGCCGAGCGGCATGTTGGCGTCAAAAGAGCATCCACTTGGACCCATGATATGTACTTGTATATATATATATACATATTTACACATATTCTTTAATATCAATTAGTATCCCCTTGGCGATTTCCTCTATTAAATGATGGGGTTGGGCATCGATTTCTTTTAATACGGACAGTTTGTTCTGGTTTGAGTATGAAAATTTGCAATTGGAGGAATGTTAGGATTTTATTATGAGGACCAGAGACCGATTGTTTGTTATTCTATAGTGACATGCTGTTTGCATGTTACAAAAGATAGAAGCCTGGCGGCCTGGCTGCTTCAATTTTTGAACATGTTGTTTGGCATTTTCTAGGTTGTGAGTTGCAGACTCTCATCATTGAAGAGGTGCACTCCAAAAAATCATCACACACACATGTCCTTATTAAGCCGACAACTTTCCTCTTTATAAAACCCAGCGCCCAACCTTCAATTCTTGCTTTGTAGGTACCTAGATCTAGATGTGCTATTGTTTGACAGGCTGGAGCGGGCAATTCTATATAGGAATATATTCTATTTTGCCTTTGCTGAACTAGGTGTTCGACGGTATGTGGGGGCCATTTTATAGTGATATTTTTGGCTATCAATGTACGTTGTTTCAATGTCATAGAGTGCACACCCTTTCGAAGGTTGTATGCTGCAGTTTTTGCACTATGAAATTGCTATATAATTCGATGCGATCCTGATGCATTTGTGCCCTCCATGTCAACGCGATGCGTCAACAGGAGTTGGGCCTGCATTTTCTGAACTTTCCAAGCTCCATACCTGGCAAACTATTTGACGGTAGATCTCAGCAGGTCAAATATCCATCCACCGAAGCCTCTTGCGATATGGGGGATATGCATGTGCTTCTTGGGTTTTTGGGCGCTCAGACCGGCTCCTGTTGTGTGTTTCTTTCTGTCTGAAATATGCGTGACACAGGGCGGAGAGTTCCATTTGTCAGGAAGAATTTCGAAGTGGCCATCAAGAGCCACCCATACATCCTGGTGCAGTTCTTTGCTCCCTGGTGTGGGCACTGTAAGCAGCTCCTTGGATCAGTGGTTACAGAGTGGTCGGACAGCGTGGTGATGGAGGGTGAACGACTGCCGGATGGACCTAGGTGGCCAAGTTTGGGGAGTCACCCACCAGATCGAAGACCAACAAGCGAAAAGGCGAAAACACGCCAGTTGAAGAAGCACCGCAGCAGCTCGCACCTCAGCCATGCCCCGGCTTTTGTCCCCCAACGACATAACATGGACAAAGACTGCTCTGTTTTTTCCGCAGGCACCCCAAACAACGAAACTTCAACACCTGGTTTTGACCAATTATATCATTTTTGGAAAAATGTATGAACTTGGCTGTGGTTTGTGATGCCTCAAAGTGTTCAGAAGACTTCTGGGTGACACGCTGGTTCCTCTCGGTTCGCTTCGCGGGCCGCCTGCGTATCCACAGGTTCGCGCCGGAGTACGCGGGCGCGGCACGGCAGCTCAAGCAGACGAACCAGCCGATCCGCCTGGCGAAGGCGGGTCGTGGCGGTGTGGAAGGTGGATGAATCAAAGGGCACCAATATGGAGACGTTGGTTCATCCAGGTATGTAGAGGCTTATGATCCATCACATGTATTTAGGGGCTGTTTTTGATCAACTGTTAGCATTAGCCTTTGTTTGTCCTGAGGCCCTACGCCTGCCTCTTAAGGAGGCACAAGGAGCTAACAGGGCTGTAGGGCAGGAAAGAGGTCCGGAGGACAAGAAATCAAACGATTCCAAGGCCATCCTGTCCGGGACTCGAGGCATACATCCGGGCCACTAAGAAGGTAACACTCCGAGTCGCTGAAAATGGAAGTTAAGACCCAATTTTTTTTTACAGGAGAACAGTCATTTACGGATCCATGTTCCACTTCCATGATGATTTCAGGGACGATGTGACGATCGATTCGATGTGACGATCTTGATGTTTGGTCACAGTGCGGGCCGTTTGCTTTGTCACAGTGCAGGCCGTCACAAGCAGCAACACACTGGGAGAACCCGCAGTACAATCTCCAACATAGCCAACCCAAGCTGCGGAACCAGCCAAATGCCGAGCCAGAACCTTCCACCGTCTTGTTCGATCCCAGAAACGACAATGAGACTCATCGGTTCCAAGCTCGCAAACTAAACCAACAAGATCCAACAAATATAGTATAAATAAAATTACTAAAGTCGCGTACCATGCTTTAGATGGTTCAACTGGTTAATGGTTTCACATCGAGGCACAGATCTTGCTTTTCTCCCTCAAAATCTATTCAGCATTATGCATTAATCTAATGGGCTTTACTGAATCAAACAAAGGAGTTTACATTATTTTACACTAGAGAAAAACCAGGCCAACCATTATTTTTATAGTCTTGGAATTCTAGGTAGGGTATATGTGTATATGTATATATGTAGGTTCATGTAGGTTCCTTAGACCTTCCCCTTCAGGTTATGGACCTTGCCAGTCGGACTGGTGCGCCAGTTGCTTCGCATGTGGACCTGCAGGGCATCCCGAAAATTAGCGGGCAACCCATGTAGTACCTGCTGAGCTGCGCCAGGTGGATGCCACGGCTGAGCTGAAACTCGCCGAGGAGTATGGCGTCAGAGGTAGGAGCGATGCCGAGCATGGTGGAATCAATTGGTTGCTATTGGACATCCCAAGCGGCAAATTTAAGTCTACAGACGTGTGTATAGTATGTTGTAGTTGTGGTGCGTCACTTTGTTCCTTTTTGTTTGTAGGAAAGGGGTTCGGTGTGTTGACTGTAGGTCAGTGTAGGTGTCACTGTCAGCGCTGTGTGCATCAGAGAGTGTGGTCAAGCGAAATCAAGAAGGCAGCTGTTGATCTCATAGTTGTACCAAAGCAACCAGATGTTTTGCTAGAGGCAGGTTGGAACGGTTATTTATAGTTGATCTCATGTGTCTCACATGAAGACGTGTCCACTTCAACACACAACCGACGTGTTCGGGGTGACCGAATCGCTACCTCAGGCTACCCGACGATTCGCCTCTTCATTGATGGCCGGGATCAGGCCGGGAGAGTGACAGAGATGACCGGGCCCATGCAGGTCGCTTTCTTTTTTGGGGACTCGTTGATTGGGCCATCGATTGGCCCCCGGAAGGTGATTGAAGGCCTTAGACTTGTGTATATAGCTCAATCTGATGCCAACCTGAACTAGGGGGAGAGCAAAGGAAAGGAAACAAGTGAAGGCTACAAGCCACGAGATTGCGGGAAGGCTTGATTGAGTCAGGGGTAGCATGCAAAAATAATAATATATATATATTATATTACTTGCATCGGGGGACACGACCGTGAGCTTCTCAAACCTTTGGTGTTCTTAATTGCTGTTCCCATGGGAAAACAACACCTAAGACACGAGAGAGGAAAAACCAAACAGCAACAATCCAAAGGATTGCAAGAAGACGCGTTTTAATGGGGATGATTTCCAGGGTGAAAGGCAAGCATGTTGTAAGTAACATTGCACCGCTGTTCCCCACCAGCTTTCATTGAACATGGCTCAGGGCTCCTGGAAAGGATTTGTTTAATGACTTCTTTTTGCAACATACAACCGCCCCATCCCTTAGAGTCGGAGTCGTTCTTGTCCAATGCTAGGAGTTTGGCGATTTCTTTGGCAGGGTGTCCGGCTTTTCCATATTTTTTTAAAAAAAGTGAGGGTGGGTTGGGAGGTTCTTGTTCAAGGCTTTTCAACTACACTGTTTCTTTCTACCTAGCCTGCTTGAGCTTCCAGGAATATACTGGTGGCCGAACTGAACAGAGCCGCTTTGCCGCCGTGGTGAGGAAAAGGCACATGTTGTGCGACACCTCGGCGAAGCCACGTAAGCATAGATTCAAGGAAAAACCTCCAGTCATTCCAACAAAGCTCAGCTGGTTGCTCTATCCAACCGGTTATTGATCCGTTCCCTTTACATCGGGTCGAATCTACTTCCTCACGGAAGTGGCCTACCCTGATTTAGGGCCTGGTAGTTAGGTACGACCAGAAAGCCAACATAAAGAAGATGATAAAACCATAAAACACCTCCACATGGAGGTGTCCATGAGGCTGGAGGGCATGCGCCTGGCGGCACGACCGCAGCCATGAGATTGATGATCCGTACATATCCGTATACATATGCCATACGCCTTGCTTATATACATAGGCACTGCATGGCACTGCCACAAAAACCATGGATCTTACTCATCTTACTCCACTATTGGGGCATGGCTTGTCAACTTGATTTTTTTGGTGATGATCCTTTTCCTTTTCCGACGGATGCTCCGAGCCTTTGGTTCCATGAGGTATTGTCACCTGGGTGCTGAAGAAGGCGAGGCAACACGGTGGCCTTGGTGGTTGCGGCGGTGGCCAGGGTGGGCGTGGGCATCATGCGGAAAGGTGGTCGAGCACAGTTCCTGGAACATGGCTGCTTCCAGCAGCTGTAATCTGGGAGGTGTATGATCAGACCTATAGAGGAGGGACGAAGCCCAAATTGGATCGCATCAGGGCTTGTGGAGCAGCTTGCTCCAGCTTGCTGCACTTAGACCCCGATGGTTGGGGTGGGCGCTCCCTTCAATGCAAACACACAATAACCCACACCAGCTGCAGCGGAATAGGTTTTGAATAATTTTCTCATATAAACTAGCCAGTGACTTGTCCTGATACAGTCTCCAACCAGTTTGTTCACCACCTTGACAAGTTTGCATCCCTTCTCAGCCTCGTCAAGTCCGCTTCTCAGCCTGCAGGTCCAAATCACTTGATGATACCCTGTTACCTTGTATTTTTTTAAGGAGGAGGATCTTCTCGACCTCCTCCTCCTCTTCCTCCTCCTCCTCTCATTTGGTGAATCAAGTGCTCACCCCGGTCCTGGCGTTCACCACTCACCGCACCTGTTTCGCCAGGCGGGGCCTCCAGCCGTGGAAGTGGAGACCTTAGAGGCGGCCAAGGCCTTCGAACAGGAAAACAGGCACAGGGCGGCACAGCGGGGCACCAATCCCGGAAGTGGCATCCTGGAAGTATAGAGATATTTCATGATATTTCAACAATTGGACCTCCGCAACGCATTAAATTACAGAACATTACAAAACAATACAAAGCAATGTCTTAGTTCATTTTGTTGGGAGGAGTTTGAAGTCCTAGGGTGGATGTACTGCTTCGGACGCCTAACGATTGGGGATGATGGGAGGTGGAATGAGATACATTTCGTTGAGGCCAGTTTTCTTGAGACGATCAAGCATTCAGAAGTGCTGTTGCAACCGAGACGGTCCAATGTGCTGTTCTAGAGGCCCAATAGCAGATGTCAGAGGGAGATGTTGGTTTTTGATGGTTGTTCGACCCCCAGCCCTAGGGCTAAAACTGATAAGAACACCAGCAAAAAATTGAAATCAATTCCCAGGACCTTTTAAGTGACCGAACTTGAGATCCGAGAATGAGGTTGCTTAGTCCCACAGACAGAGGCCACAGGTCCAGAGACTCCGAGGTCATGAACTGAAGGTCCTGGTCCATAACTGTTGAAACGGGTGCGAACGAAAACTCTGAGCCTCGCACGGCCGAGCCGAGAGCCCTCAGGCTGGCCGTGCTGTGCTTTTGCGATGCGGGCGCGCGCGGCGCCTTCGAGCGGGCGGCCAGACAGGTGGAGGAGTCCCGTGCAGTGGACCCCACGGCATGAGACCAGCGGGGTTTATGGTTGGGTGAGGTTGGTTAGGACTCAGGACTGGGGTGATCTGATCACGATGGTTGCTGTACAAGCCCGCGCGGGTTCAATTCCTTGTGCCTTTTTGTTCGATTTCTTTTTGTTGGGCGGGCAGAGCAGCAGGGTGGCTTGCAGTGAAAGTGGAGGGAGCTGATGGTGTCGATGGCTTTGGCAGCATGCTGAAACTACGCAGGCAGACAACTGTGCACACTGATTTGACCCTTCAGCGTTTTGGAATTTGATGGACTTTGTCACGGCACAGGTGGAAAGTCAGTTCCGTTCAAAAATCTGCCCCGCTTGCAGCCACCATGAAAGCCAGAAACCAAGCCGCAGCGCTGGGTTCAAACTCGTCAGAAGTGATAAGACTGCAACCACGGGTTATCAGAAGTTGTAGATACCCATGTCCTACAGTATTGACATGTATTAATAATAAACAATACATACGATACATATATGACAGATATATAACATATTTGTGAAAGTGATATGAGAAGTATAAGTCAGAAGGGTAACATGACATGGGAATTGGCTGTCGGGACAGCCCCGGAACTAGGTACACAGCACCGCAGAACGACGTTTTACATGAACGGGCACCCATGAGTATCCATGTGGTCCAACACCGGTCAGATACGAACGACATGAAGCGACATGAACGTTTGAGTGTCTTGCGGATGGACAACCCACACCACCCACAGAATTGGAAGACCTTCTTGGCCCGAAACAGATCATCTCATTTGAAGACCGAAACTCGCGGCGATGGCGCCAAAGAATCAGAAACTGGAAAGCTTCCTGGAGCTGGTTCGCTACCAGCGCCCTGGAGCTCTCAGAAAACCACGCGTTTTGCCACGTGTGCCATGTGGGCTGGGTCAGGTTTGGGCTTTCTCTTCTTCTTTGGGGGTTGTTGAAAAGGCAGGCATAACAAAGAACAAGGACTAGACTGCAACAGGATAAACAATAAATGCTGCTACTTAAACAATAAATGCTGCTAGTTAGATATCATATATAATTAACTAATATATAATTGAATATACAGCGAATATATTATGTACTTACAGGGAAGAGGCTGGATACAAGAGTTAAATAGAATTAACTCCAGAGTCAATTATGTTAGCTTTTGCTTCTAGAAGAGACTCTGGATTTGATTCTATCAGCTTTGCCACTGGTGCAACTACAGAATTAAGTCTGGTGCTAATTCCTTTTCAGTTTGTCTCCTTGTTTGTTTCTCTTCATTTGGTTCTTTAATTCTTTTCTTCTTGGCGTTTAGATCATTTTAGATCCTTTTAGTTCTAGCTGGGTGAAAGGAGGTTTTAGGAAGCTCCAGGACAGGAATTAATCCTACAGCTAGGGCCGGACCAAAACTCACAGTCAGATAGCCAGAACCAAATGAATGGGCCAGACTGACAGCACAAAAACAGATAATTCGATCTTTCCTTTGTTTAACGGGTCCAGAAGGCCATGTAGAATTAAGTCCAGAATTAACTGATACTTCTGACTTGCATATTTTGCATGTCGGTTGTACCCCAAGACAAAGAATGTATACCAGAGTTAATGATGATTAACTCTGGTATTCACTCCTTTTCATGTTTGCGGTCCGTCCGTCTTACTTTCTCTTTGCATAATATGTAATACAAATAATACACTCGTTGTGGACGCGGGTGTTTGTTTCTTTCTGAAGGCACCGGTTGTTTTGAACACAATGTCAGCTGCAGCCTTTGAGCCTCCCTCTTGAGGCTGCACAAGAGTCAAGAACAATTGGATTCTCTCCATATATTGTATTTTATTTTTGTATCAGTCACTTTTGGTGACCGTTGAATTGGCCTTCAGAGGCTAGCCACTAGCCGTCACTAGCCTCTCCCGTTAGAATGGAGGCTCGTTGCGCTTTCCCCTCGCGCCGGTGACCCACGACCAAGGCATGGAGAGCAATTTCGGTTCATGAAGATGCAGCATGCGCACATGGAGGTGTGGGGGTTCAGAGATGGCATGCGACTTCATTGAGATATGCAATTCATCAATTGGATTTTTTAAACCTGAAAAGTGCAGTGATTGAAATCTGAAAACAGTTGCCTCCAATGACCAAAAAAACTAAATGCCATCACAACAGTTCGGAACTGCAAGCCCAAGCCCTGGCTTCGGCATGTCATTGACTCATGGCAAGCCAACTGTCCGGGTGGCTTTAACCTTCTGATTGATTCCCGGTTGTGGAACTTGCTCCTGCTCCTGCAACCCCGAAGCCCCTAGACTCTAGAGAAGAACATGCCGCAAGGAAGAAAGAACATTTGTGGGTTACTGATTCTTTTGCGTTCTTTGTGTTATCATAGTCTTTTCTGCTCTATTCTCTTTGCGTTTGGGCTCCTGCCTCACACCAGGCGGCGCTCACAGATCTCCTTGAGGAGCTTCCTTCGCTGATCGAACCACGATGTGGGGACATCCCTTCCATTCCATCTGTGAGCTCAGCCCCCTTCAATGCGTTTTATAATTAGGCGCTGTAGAAGATGAACAATTACAAACAAATCACCAAGACAGTATAGAGAGATTGTTACATAATACTGTATGTTGTTTTTTGCCGATTTGATTCTTTTGTGGGAGGCTAGTTCGCTAGTCTTATGCTGTTCACAAAAGGCCTTACAGGCGGGCGGAGGGAGGATGCCTCAGTTATGAAGGGTCACTGTAGTGCTTCCCTAAATACGCTGATCTTCCTGGTGCATATCAGAGTGCACTCTGGTGGTGCTATGCCGGTCAGCTGTTGGCATTCCTCAGTATGACGTCATACTATGACATCATACGCATGACGTTGTAGGAAAGTGGAAGCACCATCCTGCTTCACCCTGCGCCCATCACACTGTGGTGTTTAGTCTTGGATTGTACTGGCTGGGAGGGGGCCAAAGTGCAAACTTCAATTTCCTTACTATATATGTAATTTGCTTGTTCCTTTCCGTGAGCCCTATAGACAACATATTGAATACTATACGTAGCCCTGCAGAGAGGAGGGGAAGACAAAAACGTCACTCGAGGAGCCCATGGGTCGGCTGCCCGCCATTGCGGAAGGCCGGGCGTGAATCACAGGAGTGATGTTCATGTCTCCTGTTAAGCTAGTGGCATCATAATCACAGGAGGAAGGTCACATGGAATAGTCACACCATATCAAACTGATGTTCTTTTGGAGGTATTGTAGGAAGCTTGTTGGGGATCACAGGTGGATTTGGGGACACGTATTACGTGTTGAACGCATCTTTGCACTAGATGATGAATGATCGTCGTTTTGGACAGTTGCAATGGTTATCGGATATGATGTCGTCTTTGGCTTCGGACCCCAAATCCGTGAGCATCAGCAGGAACATGGGATTCTCATTTCTGCGTTCTGTGATATCTAGGGGCCCAGGGATTCTCAAGTTGGAGGTTTCCCGCACTCGGAGAACAAGAAGGCACTCACTCCTGAAGATTTCTTTGCCCTGACCTCTCAAGCGGATGATTCCTGGTGACCAAACTTGGCTGGGAGCCTTTTGTGGGAGGGTCCTTGACACCCTGATGGATCCTTGGTGTTGGCCAGGAGCAGCCATCAGAGCGACCAAGTCTGTTTGAGTGCTCCAGACATAGACTATCATAGACTGGTAGGTGATTGACATACACTCCTATTTCAAGATCTCCACATTCAGAGCATGGCGGCAGAACATGTTTTGTTTTTTGTTTAAAGCAGATGAAGATTCAGACTATAGCTATGCAAGCTCCGCATCCTCCGTTGTCAGTGGGAGAAAGCAATGTATAAAATCAATCAATACATCTCCCCAAAATCAGTGCAAGTTGTAGAACATCCCCTTGCATGTCGGGTCACATTTGCAAATTGTTTTTTTGGATGGTCATTTCGCTACACAGGCTGCTGAAGAAGAAACACAGAGAGAAAGACACCTTATTGATTCCATAGGTAAATTATACAAAAGGAAGGAATACCCGGGGTCGTGTACCAAATTGATGTAATAATTGACAAGTGATGTACATGTATACCTGGCACCTCCATCCCTCATATGTTCTTCAGGATTTTCCTTTGTTCCAGCTTCGACCTCCTCCGTCCGACGCAGACCACACCTCGGCGCAGAGCTTTGCGAGCGGCGCACGACGGGGATCGAGTTGCTTTCAGGGCCCATGCCGCCGGGGGACTCGGGCCACAGCGAGCTGCAGCGACACCGACACAGCAGAGACCGGGGTCCATTTCCCCCTGTCATAGATAGAAAAGTAAATCCCCACTAAAAATATGTTGGACACGTTTCTATTTGTTTGGGGATCACTATATATATATATATGTATATATTGCACCTTTGAGGTGTGTGGTGTGAGGTGTTCTGGTTCTTTTTTGGGGTGCCCTCACCAAAGAAAAACACCGCAACAGCAGGCGTCCAGATGCATTCATTCCTCACCAGCATTTTTGCAGCATATTCTAGCTTAGTCGAGAACAACTCTGGCGTTGGGACCATGACATGTGTTGTTCGACAGTTTCTTCACTTTTCGTGCATGGGTTCAGACCAGGTCAGCACGACCCGGGATGAGTGCAAAAACTCCAGGTCTTCAGGAGTCCAGGAGAAAGACTCGTGGAATTCCATCTGGGTGCTCAGGATTTCCGAATTCGTTTGCCCCATCACACGCACGGAGAGAGGGAGTTGCTTATAGTATATCTTAGTATTGCCTAGTTGAAATTTGTTGCAGCGAAGTACGGAGAATTAGGGCAGACACCGGACATGTTAAGCAGCCAGCCTGTGCTGGATCAGGGTGGACCCACGCTGCTTGCACCACCTCCAAGGCATCGTACTTGGAGAGATGCCCGAGATGGCCGAGGTGTGTTTGGGTGGGTGGGTGGGTAAAAGGAGGGGGAAAGACTCCGACGCGGCTGGTGGAGAAGAGTTTTGGCTGGTGAAAATGGATCGAGCTGTGCTGCAATCTCGCTCGGGAAACAAGGA